AAAATTGGTTTTAAAACCGGAAGTGGTTGTGCGCCAAAACCCCCCCCCCCCCCCCCCCCTCGGCTCGACAGACTGGCCCCCGACCACAAAAGGGAACACTTATGTGGCCCTCGCAGGAAAAAGTTTGGGGACCCCTGGTCTAAGTAGTTAAACACCTTTATTTTTTATTCTCCTATACGATAAAATCAGTACTCGTGTTAGCTCTAGCACATTACTTTACTTACTTGTTCAGGAGCCATGTAGATTTCGGTTCCTGGCCCTACTGTTCTGTCGATCAAGATTTCACTTCTGTCAATAGTGACGAGACCAAAGTCCCCAATTTTCACCTTCCCATTTTTTCCAAACATTATGTTGGGAGGCTGAGAAGTGAAAAACAAATAAAGTGATTAAAGTGATTATGAAACTTCTTGGATCAAACAACTAATCCTTTATGAAAACTGAAATTACTAAACCACCAACATACTGAAACATAGGCTAATGAAGCCCATGGCATTGCAGTCAGGAGGTTTTTGAGATGGTTAATTTTCAAGACATCAAAAAACATGAACCTATTGCCAAAAAACATCTGAATGGTTTTTTAAGTAGTTGGGCTGTTTTAGAAGCAGACCCAAAAGAACAAAAATGGGCAACATGTGAATTTTACTCAACAGGTCTCCTATAAATATTTAAAATAAGGAAAAATATTTTGAAGTGCTCATCATTGGATTATATGCAGTTTGTTTCAAGCCATATGCACATTTTTAATGAAAAAATTAAAGAAGATTCCCTACGAAACTTTCAAGAGAGAAATTGTGGTAAGAGAAAAAAATGAAGGTAGAACACAAGCATGGGAGAATTCAAGGAAGGAAAGAAGGAACCTACCGACCAACCAAACCAGCAGTGTAAACACCCGAGCCTCACCTTTAGGTCTCGGTGAATGAAGTTGTTGGAGTGAATATATTCGACTCCACTGACTGTCTGCAATGCAATAGGAAGACTGTCTGCTCCTCTCTGGCTGTGTGGTAGATCCTCTTGGTTCCTCTCACCAATCCATTGTTTGAGGGTTGCAGATTTACATAATTCCATCTTAATGAAGAGGTACTGTCCACATATGACACTTGCAGGTAAAAAAAAAAGGAAAAATCTGATTTTTCTGTCAGTCTGTAAGATGAATTCACTTATGTGAAGCTAGAGGAGAAAACTCTTACTCTTTTAGTTTCTTTTGGATTTTCTCTTGTTGCACTTTTGAGTCCTCCATCCAACAGTTGTAGTATCTGACAATGTTTTTGTGTTGGAGTTCTGATAACACCGTCACCTCTCGCAAAGCTTTTCTAAATAAAAATAATACAAATACAACCACCCTCAGTGAAACAGTTTAACTGTTTGACCTGAAATCTTTTAGCAACGTTTCTGTTTTTGTGCCCAGAGCAGCACCACATACTCACTCTGTTCCAGGAACGATCTTCACTGCATAATCCAGGTCCAACAGTTTTTCCTTCACCATAAAAACGCGACCAAACCCTCCTCCACCAAGATATTTAAGGATCTCAAACTCTGATGTGAATCTTTAAACATTAAACAGATTGCTTAGGCATAAAAAATGCATTGGCCTTTAATGCTTATTACAGTTTATGCTTTTAATGCAATAAAATGTTTTTCAATACCTTGACTGCACTGGTGGGTTACTTGGGTTTGTGATTTTCTGGTTTTCCACATCATTCTGGAAAAAAACCCAATAATGTGTGTATTTTAATTATAGAAATGCATTAATTGAGAACTACATAGAGAGAAACTGTACAAATACTAGAACTTCAGCCTTTAGTAGCAATGTCTGCTAATTGAATTGAAACTGCAACCATAGCAATAAGATATTTTTCTTAGTGAGATTTGATTCCCTACAATAAATAAAATTCATATTACTAGTTTTTTTTTTCCAAATGGTTAATGCAGAAAATGCATCAGCAGAACACTTGTAATTTCTGATGCTCCACATTAATGGAAGTGTGAGAAGCAACAATTATGGTGTCTTAATGTGAGCTCTCTGAATGGGGCTGGTGGCCTAATTATGATCTACAACAGAAGCTTCAAGGCAGATTTTAGAGGTACAGTTCAAATCTGGTGTATTAACTGCAGTATATACCTTTGTAGTGTGTTGATTTTATATAAATACTCATTTGTTTTTACAGAAGGCTCTGTAATGTTTGTAACTCCTACACTTACAGTTAACATATGGGTGACTATAAGCATCAAACAATGCATTCATAGTTTAAAACAAAAGCAAAACCTGGTCTGAAGAAGCTTGTGAAGAATCCGCAGGATCAGATGAGCCTGTCATCTCGCTCTGTGACGGCTCAGCAGAATCTCTTTAACAAAACAGTAATAGAAATAATTGTTCTACAGCGTTCCTGTTAAGATTCTATCTTCTACAAGCTTCTTTTCATATAATAAGCGTAATCATGAAGATTACTAAACAACCATTAACCTGCAGCAGACAGTGGTCAAAACAATCTCAGTTTTGATTTCAGATACACTATATTGTCCTAAGTATTTGCTCACCAAATCATTTTTGTATTGAAACATATATTGGTACACATAAGCTGCCTAATTTATCCAGCCAAGGCTCAAATTTCTTGATGTCATCCAAAAACAACAATCCTGGACTTAAGTCTGAATTAATCAGCAGTGGATATTCTAAAAGTGACACTGGATGCAGTTCATGTACCAAATGCTCTTAAGTCCACAAAACAGTGAAAATCTAAGCAACATACAGACATGACAGGGTGTCACCATGCCTAACATAACAAGCATTTAACCTGATAGTAAAACATAGCATTCATGTTGTTTTACATGATGCAAGTATTTGTTCTTGAATCAGGAAAGGAAGCAGAGGGAGAAGAGTGGCCATAAAAGGCCCAGGCTGAGAATCACACCTATAGTAGGTGTGCCCCTCTCTACATGGGGTGCTTGTGCTCCCCAATGGACCACAGAGTGAGCTGGTAGCCATCAAGATGGACCACTTGCTACTGAAGTAAGATAATGACTGTTCAATCATACTCCATACATCCCCACTGGAAAAAAAAACAACACAAAACAAGGTGATGTGTCTTTTGAAAAGAACTTACTGTGACATGGGCGATGGCTCATTTTCTCCAGACCCAGTTTCTCTGGACATCTAAAATTCACAACAGATCACTTTTTTTTCTTATTACCTTAAACTTCACCATTTAGTTTTTCTAGGTAGGAATGTATTTTTCCAGTAACTATAGTAACTTGCAACCTTTACATTGCTTCACTTTCATTTAATGATATTTCAATCACAAGCTTCAATTTTTTCTTTGTCATTTTATGTGATAGACCTACACAAAGTAGTGCATAATTATGATTCACAGCTCAGGCACACCAACTTGTCGAGACAAGTTTTACTCCTTCAAAATAGGAACTACTTTTTCATACCTAATTTTGAAATTCAAGCTTTAACCCTGTGGCCGTTTTTTTCAGGTATTTCTACCTAGATATAAGGACACACTGAGTAATTCAGTCTCAAAAAGATGACCTGGCTTTGCTTTACCGTGTAAATTAATACATAGTCCAAGTTATCCTACAGAGAACAGACTACTGCTTTAGCTATCACACTTTTTAACTATGATAAACAAACCTGGGCGTTGGAGGGGTTTGAGGAATCAGCAAATATTATGGAGTCACTTGGAGTCATATGCATGTTGTGTGATGATGACTCATTTGAGTCCCTGAGAAAGAAGACAAACAGTGAGTGGAGTTTAAATATTCAGCTCTCCAAGGTGTTCAGCTGTTTTTGTCAGGAAATTCCGTACAGTGCCTCTGATTGTGATGATGGTGGTGCTCCATCTTCAGATGCTGTTGATCCAACAGACACCTGAAATGCAAAGGAAGAGTGAAGAACATTTTAATTTGCCGTCGGCTTGAACTGGATACCAGAGGAATCTGAACATTGCCCACCTTGCTGTCGAAATCTGACTGCTCCTGAAGAGAAGACCATGCCAGCTTTGCTGCATTATGTTGGGCTTCCTTTTTATTTTTGCCTTCAGCAACACGGTATTCCCTTGTCTCAATTTTTAATTTGTAAAAAAATCTGCATTGAAGAAAAAAGTATCTTGATATCTGCATGTTTACTTTAACATCAGTCAGCAATTCAAGAGTAAAGGCAAAACTATTTCAGGTGAGAAGATTCTTACCGAGGATTATGAGGAGGTCCACTTCTTTCTACTAATATATATTCAAGACTGAGTTTTTTTCTCTGACAGTAGTTGTGGATAATTGCAACAAACCCTGACTCTGTACAGTTGTCTTCTGAGTTTATACTCAGGCTTTTTGTCTTTGTACTGAAACAAACACAATTTCACACGAGAAGATAACAAGGGTGAGGGATAAAAAATTATTTTCAAATCAATGAGACATCTACATGGATGATTCAGAGTTGATTAACAAACATTGAAACTTTATTATCTGAATGCCAACTAATAAGCTATAATCCGAGAAAATCAAAGTTTAGAATTTGGAATTTGAAGCACTTCCACATTCTACTCTTTATGTTCCTATTTTACATAATTGTATCTAAGTGAAGTATTCTTCTTTATCATTTAACTAACATTTATTATGCATTAAATTATTAATTATGCATGAAGGTTTGTGGAAGTTGCACCATGTTGTGACAATGATAATTTATAATTGCTTCGTAGCATCCTGAACTGACAGACCTAAAAAAAAGAATCTCCACCCATGACAAATAATCTGCTGTTATTTACTCACCTCAGACCATTTAAGTTTTTATTGACCATCTGATTTTGATGAACTGGGGAATCTATGACCTTAAAGCAAAAATAAGATGATTAACAAAGAGGAATGCAGCCTGGTAAGTATTAGAAAGTTATTTACATAGACGTTTGGGGCTAAATAAACAGACTTACGATATAGTCTGTGGTTTTTTGAAAGATATTGAAAAACACTGACTATTATGTGTATCAGAGGAACTATGTGGTGTCATTACAGAATGCATCAGTTTGCATATGGGACTGTGAACTAAAGTCATGGTGCCCATGCTGGTCATAATGTTATGATAGATTAGTGAAAAGTCAATATAGACTAGTGATGGGTTCCATTATGGATGCTCAGACATCTGACTGCAAATAGATGCATACATAGATCCACTTTGTAAAATGCACCAGCACACCTGTGGACCTAAACAGCCTCGCAGTATAATGCTGCCACTACCATGCTTGATTCCTGGTACAATGCTATGAGGTCTGAAAGCCCAGGATGAATTGATGTTCTATCAAGATAGTGATCTCAAACACACATCCAAGCTGGTCTATGGATGGATAAAGCAGGCTGAAATTAAGCTTCTAGAATTGCTTTATCCTCTCCAAACTTCATTATGCTAAAGGGTATAGATTATGCCTAACAGTCGTGTCTGGGCCAGAAAATCTATTTCAATTATCCCAAAAACTACAAAAAGAAATATGGTGAAATGTGAAAAACAACTTGTTCCAAAATCAACATTTAAACAAATATTAGAGGCGCAAATATGCAAATATTTGATAAAAGAAAACATATTGTAAATTCAGAAATCAATAAACCCAATTCTTGTTTTAATGAATCTTCAAAGTTGCATTGCCATCCCACACTAGGAAAACAACAGTTCTAATGCAAGACATACACAAAACTCCCAGCAAAATTTGCATGCTATGATGTTTGCATCTAAATGTCTAATAAACTGTGTCACTACTTACCTCTAGGGATTGACCACTATTTATCATCTCATACACCAACTTGGCAGCTTCCTCCTTTGCTTCTCTCTTCGATTTTCCAGAGACTTCTGGGTATTCAGTGTCACCCACTACAAACTTACACCAGCTAGTTCAACACATGTTTGAATTTCAAGTGGTTAGTTCATAGCACAGACGAAATGTGCAGCAATGTGGTGAACTTACTGAGTTGCATTATTGGGTCCAGGCCGCACCGTCACCTCTGGTTTTACTGTCACCCTGTTTGTTTGACCATATTGATTAAGCCAACATATGTAGTTAATGTCATTTTGCCTAGCAAGTGAAGACGTTTCTGCTGAATATTCTGCCTGTCAAAACAACAATTATTCACCATTTAGGGACCTAAATGATTGTTTTGAATCATTGCATGTAGTTTTGTTTCGCACATAAGAGGAATCTTACTGTGTCCTGATGTTGGTCTCCACGAAGACATCTTATAGCATTCTGGGCTGCATTCAGCTTGGCATCCGGCTTGTTTTTTCCCTCGCCAATGGGATAGGGTTTTCCATCTACGAGGAATCGCGCAGTGAATCTTTAAAAATAAAAAGTTAAGTCAAAATCTTTCTCCATGTTATTCATTTGTAAAATACAATTTTTACCCATAAGACGACAAAATCATCTGTACAACAGTTATAAGAAACAAACGTGACACTTTTCTAAACCAGCTTTGCATGTCTAGAAGATGAGATTTTTGCCATTTTTTCTTTACAATTAGATCAAGCTGAATAAAATTGGATGGGCAACCATTTGTGAACTTCAGTTTTCCAGACTTGCAAAACAATGTGGATCTTTGCAGCTCCGTCAGAGTTAAAATAGGCCTCCTGCCTCAGGAATGGACCTCTTATTAACGTTATCTAGAAATGGACGACCATATTTTGGAAGGTTTTCAGTGATGTCATATGCCTAACCCCCTGTCTCACATTGCTCTAAACTTCTCCACAGGTTTCTCCCTCATGTGATTTATTTAGATATTTGCTTTTTACTAATTAATTAATTAATTCTGAAGGCAGGTGTCCAATATTTTTATTTAGAAGTAATAGATTACACCAGGTTAAATACATGTAGAAACCACACTTCTCAGACTTGAAACATTTAAAAACCATGTATTGTTTTAAAAACCATTTGTCTTTCACTCACTCTTATGATTTATGTTGGTACATCACATAAGAGCCAAATACAACACAGCAGTTTGTGGTCATACATTCATACTTTCTCCACCACAATGTGTCCTCAAAACCTCCACTGTTTATTGAATAATCTGTCTTTGTGTTTTGGTCTTCTGCTGCTTGAGCTTATTACATTAATGGAACTGCACCCCATGCCTGGAGGCAAGGCAGAGACTTAAATATGTAGAAGGTAAGTGAAGTAACTATTTGTTTTGAATTACGCTATAGATACATATAACAAACAAACAATTGCTTATTTTCTACTTTTCAGCAATGGGTGGTAGATATAATTTAAAACTGAATGCTATATAACACCGTTATAAAAGTCTACCTGCGTAGCTTACTTCCTGGGTTTTTATTTAATCAATCAGTGACAAGGTATAATTCACATAATACATTCATAAAGGCAGAATTTATTAATGAGCTTGTATAATTACGACAGCACAAGTTTGATAAATAACTATTTTGATCATTTATGATAAAATGACTGATTTCAGCAGTTCTTGCTGAAATCAGTCAGCACTAAACTATACTTATTATTTACCTGTTTTAAGGTTTCTCTGGAGAGCCATTTTTCATTAATCTCCATAGAAATGGCTCTCCATATAGCACAGCCCAAATGCGGACTAAATGCCCCTCTCAAATTCCAAAAGAAAAATATTAACACTTACACTTTATTATGATCGGGGCCCTCGGAGTCAAGGTCCTTATAGTCTACCTTCAGACCATGTTTCTGTCCATACGTGTAGAGATTAGAAATTGCGTTGCCAGTGTCAAACAACGCCATCATAGACAGTAAACCGTGTCCTGGCTCTGTCTGGCTGGTCTCTGCTTCAGCTTCTGCCTATATTCAAGATTGGTTTCAGCACCGCTCCCTTGTTCTTCTGTAAGTTTCGATTCTGTCATCCAGCTGGACGAATAGAAACTAAGCATTACAACTTCCGGAAAAAGGTTGGTGACNAGCGGAAGTTCTTTCAGTTCATATGGAACTTTCTGGATGGTTGCAAGACGTCTAGGAATGTTAAGAAATATTAAAATGATAATAATGATATAATGATTTCATATATATATATATATAGATATATATATATATATATATATATATATATATATATATATATATATATATATACCACACATTTCAGAAATTGCCTCTATTTAAAAATGATATATTTGACTAAGTGTATTATTTATCAATTTTTCAACCAATTAATTCTGTAACTTTTTATACTGTAAGTTTTTATTTTATGTTTTTTATTGTTATGTTGTGTTTTGATGTACAGCACTTTGTATCAGCTGTGGTTGTTTTAAAGTGCTTTATAAATAAAATTGGTATGGTATGGTATAGTATAGTATGGTATGGTAACTAAAGTAGTTTTTAGACTTATTGGAGTACTGGGAAACAAAACAAATTAAAGTTTTATCAAAAGTTAAATGCAATTTTTTCACATAATTAACTTCAGATTTTGTGAATATAAATTAAGCACACAGAAGCAGAACTCAAATTTGATATGGTTTAATTTTCCAGTTTGATCTTTCAATACAATATGAAATGATGTGATGCAACATTGTAAAAACTGCCAGAAATAGTATACAAATCATCTTAAACAAGCTTATATTTAAAACCCAAAGAAAGACTATTTTCTCACAATGATATTTTTGTTAAAAAACCTCTCCTGATAAAACTGAATCCATTATTTTCTACCGTCAAGTAAAGAGCCAGATACAAAACAACTCATCACACAGCACATACTCAATATTAATGGTTATAAATATTTCTCAAAATGCAAGACCTTATTGATTTGATGGGCCAGTGTCTAGAATTTTGTATTCACATTTTCTGTTGGTAATGCTATGGGAAACAGTACATCGTGCTACTGCGTACAGAAGTAGCATCATCTGAAACATTGCCTACAAAAAATGTGTTAAAAACTCATTTATATCTGGAGAGATCTGAGCAGAGCAGAGAGAGATGGGGAACAGACAATGAAGGTCATCTATCAGCCAGCCAACCAGAGACTGGTTCATGTTCATGTTGTTCAACTCATATTCCAGTGGCCTCTAAATTTCAAAACTGAAGCTTTACTGCAGAAATTACTATTGTTTGCAAAGCATTTATACAATTAGTAACTCATGCTGCCTCATTTAGCTTAGAACACAGCACACCCAGGCTGCAGAACTAAAAATAAACAAAACTGAAATTTTGCTTTTGTTTTGCAGCAATTACACAGTGGAGAACCAGTGAACACTACAAAAATGGCTGACTGGCAGATAGCTCCCTGCATCCTCACCCTCTGCTCTGCTCAAACCTCTTTAAATACAGGAGGATTTCTTTCACATTTATTGCAAGAAGGGTTTCAAAAGTCTGAACTCACATGGATATAAGTTACATTGTGTCTCTTTGCAACCGGAATTTAATAAAAATTACCTACATTCCTGCTTTAAACACCTTAAAAATCTCCTTTTCTTAAAGACAGGGCTGATAACCAACTGTTCAATCTTTTTGTGTTGTATGTTAACTGACCCAAAAACAGACTGAAAAAACAATGAAAATGAAAATATAACATAATTTGAAAACAAAAGTAGAATAAAGACAAAGGGAAGAAGAACAATCAGAACCATCAGTAAACAATATTGGTGCATTTTAAAAAAAGAACTAGCTGAACAAGTTTGACTTTATTTTGGATTGTTCCCTCTTACAGGTCATACATACAGGCTCAAATATATTCAGACACTCTTACAAATACTTGGTTAAATGTCCCTAAAAAAGTTGTACCTCAACCATCCGGCGTTTGTAGCCATCAATAAGCTTCTGGTATAAATCTCTGAATATTTGACCTCTTTTTATATCAGAAAAGGTAGAGTTCATTTAAACTGGTTAGTTTACTGGCACAGCCCTTGATTGTAAGTGTAATGCCATCATTTTCTATAGCTATTAAGCTATTTCAAAAGGTTAATGATAGACCTTTTTTTATCTTTACCCAAGCCAGTTTTCATTTATGTTTGGGATAATTCTTCTTGTCAGGAACATCCAGTTCTGACTACTTGTTGATTTGAAGTCAAGTTATAGAAGACTAGTCCCCAAATCCAGTCCTCGAAAGCTATCATGCTGAAACTTTTAGATGCATCCCTTCTCCTTCACACCTGAATCAAATGAATAACTTGTTACCAGATCTTCGCAAAGCTCACTGACCTGGCCGACAGGTGCAAAGACGTAGCAAGCAGCGAAACTCAAACTCCAAAACATGAAAAAACCCCCAAATGCAACAGAAAACATTTTACAAAAGAAAAATGCAGCAGCAGAAAAAATGATGCAACCACAAGATATAGAAGCTGAAGAGAAAATGTCCCAAATAGCAAAAACAACAGCAAGTATAAAAATGTTGCAAACTCCACAAAGCAGAAGTGCAACAGACCACTAGGGGGAGTTGACCATCAAAATCGTATGGGACTCGACCCTGAGTAAAGACAGAATGTTATGATTTAACATTATGTCCAGAAGGAAAAAAAAGGTCCATTATGCTTTACCTTTTTCAAAATTATACAACAGCAGCATACATGTGGGTAATATCACATTCTCCAGATTCCACCTATTTGTCTGGACCACTTCCATTTTGTGGAGCAAATTGGAAGTGTTTTATACTTTCTGTGGTTCTTGCTGTTTGTGGCACTTTCTTTTTTGCCTCTATTTTCTATGGTTGCAGCATTTTTCTGTTGAATTTTTTATTTTTTGGTGTGTTTGTATGTTTTGGAGTTTGCATCATTCATGTGTTTGCAGCGTTTTGATGTTTGAGTCACCGCAGAATTCAGCCGTTTGATGCAGCTGTGGTGGAGAAAGGATGCATCTAAAAGTTGCAGGATAGCAGCTCTTGAAGACTGGACTTGGGCGCCCCAATTCAAGTATATGGAGTTTGTCCTCCATTCTCATTATTGGTGTGTTTAAATACAAAATGTATTAACACAGACCACTAGCATCTGTGTAATAATCTGTGTAAATACCATAAATATTGGTATTTACATACCATCATTTACTTTGTAAATAACAGTGTATCTACTTCATACACCTCAAGGATAACAGTTTGAGTCAGAGGGTTGGACCCAGCTCGACAAACATGACATGAAAACGTGCTTAGAGTGAATAAAGCAGGCTAACAATAACCTCCTGCAATGACCTCAACCATGTTAAAGATTTCTAGACTTAACCAGGTCTGTGCCAACAAACCAACCAGTTTAAATTAAACTCCACTATTTCTGCAAAAATGAACATTCAAATATCCAGACAGTTTTGCCAGAGGTTTGTTGATGGTTACAAAACATCTGTGGTTTAGGGATAACTTTCTAAGAGACATTTAACCAAATATTGGAAGGGGTGTATGTATATATTTGAGTCTGTATGATAGTGACTCTGTTTGGATAAAAGAGAATTTAACAATAAATAAAGAGTCATATCTAAAAAAACAAAAACAAAGAACAAAAAACAACACTGGAGTTGTAGTTATATTATCAAGTCCACCACGAGAAACACATGATTCAAATAAATCTGATAAATATCAGAATGGAAGACACTCATGCAGATCCAAAGTGTATGTAAACTTCTGACTTGTGCTGTATATAACGGATCAAGGACGTGAACACACCGAAGGCACAAATGTGGTTAATTATTTGTACTTCACAATCAGAAAATGTTGTGTTCTAAGGGTTTAAATTTTACATACTGTGGAACATTTCCATCCAGTTTCTCTCACATTTAGTTTTTTTTTATCATTAAAATGTATTTCCCATGAATGTGATTTTGTCGTAAAAGCAAATACTGAAACATTCAAGTTCAGATTTTCCAGGTTCTTGCGTTTCAAATGTACTTAAATCAAATCAATAAGCTCAAGCATTTAGAAATATATTTCATCTTTAAAGCAGTTTCACTGCATTAGTTAAAAAACTTCTGAGTCCAACATAACTGGTCACTAAATGAATAATTGATCCTTGTCAGGGCTCCAAATGTGTCAGTGAAGTAATCAGATTACTGTCTTGCTGTCAAGCTGCTTGATTTTAAGCTCTGCAAGCAAACGTTTGTGCTCCTCTAAATCTGTTTTTATTTTACTTGCTTCCGGTCGTTCTTCTGGTTTTTCACACAGCATCGATTTTATCATTTGGCTCTGAAAAAGAAACACATCAAGCACATGCATGTATTAGGATTTATTTAATAACTTAATTAAAGTCTGTTGTAAAACTTTTGTCATCCTGGTTTATCTTAAACATTATGATCCTTCAAAGCTTCGTGAATAAGTTTCTAAAGTGATTACTTGTTTAGTCCTGCATGTTATAAGTGAGTTAATAGTTTAGACCAGATGAGGAGGCTTTAGCCCTCAACACTTCAGTCCCTGGTTCAGTTCCTGGAAGTGTTTTTTATATTGGCCACTTAAAGTATTTATTTAAATATTGCAGATAATTTGTCTTATTCTATGTGCCAATAGAATAAAAAAGAAATACCATTTTCATTTGTAATCTATCTTACAAGGTGTAATCTACCAAATATCAGCAAAGTGAAAATTAAGACAGTAAATAGATTGAGTAAATAGTCAAGTACCTCTTGAGAAAAATGACACGGAAATGGTTTAGGAAACTTTTGGTTTCTGACATCTGTCCACATCTGGAAATCAAGTAGCAATAAAGGAGAAGAAAATTGTTTAGTCGGGTTGAAATAAACAAGAAAAATCAGCAAAACACTTTTCAAATAACAGAAAAACTCCCCATAAAACGATGCTTCCACTACCTCCACAATTAACAGTGTTTACAACCTTCTTTGAGTGATAAACTTCTAATATTTTCTTTGGAAAATTTGCAGTAGACACTGTTGTTTGTGATATGAGTTTTTTCTAAATGGGATCCTAAAAGTTATACTGTTGTGTACTGGCTTTACCAATTTATGTTTCACAGTAACAGAAATATTACTGTTAAAAAATTAATGTTAAAAATATCCAGTTACAAATACATTTTTTTTATTTTACAGGTATAAGATCATTTTCTGTGCCAAGTTATTGCCACTGCTAAAATATACTTTATTTTTTACATTGATAAGAGTAACTAGGAACTTTTAATTTGTAATGCAGGGTTCTCCGTTTCCCTGAGGTTTAAATTTAATGTGACACTGAGATCCATTTCTCTCTGACGATGTAGATTTGTATCTTCTCCAAAGATACTGGGGACCTTGTTTGTCGGCACGGCATGCTGAAATCTTTGAAATGTTTGGACATTTTTAATGAAAAGCTGATGGACTCTGCCAGAAACCTGAAAAAGGGTCGTCATCATCCAACCCACAGCTCCAAACTAGCAAAGAAATGCTTAACGAGACACAAAAACAACCTCACCTTTTCTTTCTCATGGATAGTGGGTATGTTCCAAAGGAGTTCAAAAAATATAAGCCCCAAAGCAAATATGTCCACCTTCCGATCATAAAGCCTCCGTTCCTTCTGTTATAAAATAACACAGAATTAGCAAAAGCCACACAAACCCATGACATATTTAAGAGACATTCCTACAGCTGCTCTCACCTGCTCAGGCGCCATGTAAGATGGAGTTCCTTTATACCCTCTTCTCTCCTTCTGGTTCTCTGCATCATCTTCAATCTCAGACGTGACGAGACCAAAGTCTCCGATCTTCACTGTGCCGTTCTGGCTGAACATGATGTTAGCGGGCTAACACGCAGATTCATGAGACACGGAAAGGCACAATTCAGAATTTGTCCAAACGGACTTATGTAAATTATATTCCTTGGTTTTCTATATATTTTTTTAAACTTGCAGAAATCTCCTGTTTTTTCCTCCACCTTTACAAATGAGGTATTTCAGTGCAGAATTTTGAGGAAAGAGATTGATTTAATATAATTTGGAATAGGGTTGTAATATAAAAAAATATATTATTTTATATACTAATAAAAAATAATATTAATATTGAAAATGCTGGCTGCATCTCGCCAAGAATAAACCATTTAAAAGCAGAATTCAGTGCAGCAAAGTCCGTTGGGTATTTTATAATAAATATAAAAACAACACACAAAAACTGTGATTATCAAAAGACATAATTTGTGTTTTATGTAATATTATCAACTGCTAGAAGATTTTAGTGGCAATAATCGGCTAGTCGATCGTTGAATTGGTTTTGGCAATAAAGTCAAACCCATTGTTTAGCTTATAAAATACCAATAGAATCAACTTAAGTTTTTGCCATTTTGCAAAGCTCTGTGTCACTGTATTTTATTTTTTTTCTTAGTTTCAGGTGAAACCGACCAGCCGCCTCACCTTCAGGTCTCTGTGGATGAGCTTGTTGGTGTGAATGTGCTCGACTCCGCTGACCATTTGCACCATAATATCCACACTCTCTTCTCTTCTCCTGGAGTCTCTGAGGGATTTTTTAGGGTTCTGGATGTTTTTCTCGTCTATCCAAACCCGCAGTGTTTTAATCTCACACAACTCCATCTGAATGTAGAGATACTTCATAAACTGGTCAGTGCTAGACCTGGAGAGTAAACGACACAAAGGTGAAATAAACACCAGGTTTGCAGAGTGAGAGACCTCCAGAGAGCAGAGGACTCACTGTGAAGCGCTGCTGCTGTCAGTGGAAGCGTCCCACTGGTAGGCCGTGTCCTCCAGCCAGCAGGAGTGGTACCGAACGATGTTACAGTGATTCAGCTCTGACAACACCTTCACCTCCTCCAGAGTTTTTCTAATCCAAATAAGTACAACAAATAGGCTACATTCAGAAAACATCACACCTTGATTTGTGTTTTTAAAGCATATGTCTTGAGGATTCCCCCCCTCCCCCCCCAAAACCCACCGTTAAGAGAAAAAAAATCTTGACTCACTCTTTGTAGCGCACAATCTTTACAGCATAATATTTTCCCTCCAGTTTACGTTTCGCCTTAAAAACACGACCAAAAGCTCCTTTATCGAGCTGTTCTATGGATTCGTAGTCTGTTGCAAATCTGCTGAAACTAAAAAGCATTAATAGTTGTTAGTGCGGTTAAGCTATATAACAACATGTCTTATTTACTCTTATATGTCCTAAAAAAAGAAATCTCTCTCTTTGTGTGTTGTGCCAATTAAATTTCCATACCTTGAAACTGTCTGAGTTGGTGATTTTACACTCTGAAGATTTCCTCTCTGATTGGTTTTGAAATTTATTATGTCCTTAATAAAAGCCACAATGAGGATGTGAGTATTTTGAAAAAGAACCACAGATATAAATGGTCATGGTCACTACCTTCGATCCTTACCTCTTTACTTTTCTCTTTGACATTTGGAAAAATTGCAGCAATTCTGGCAAGAAAAAAAAAAAAAGAATTAACCAGTGACATTTGGCGAAAGAAAGTACAACTTCACAGTAGGGATGACGGCTTACTTTATTTTAGGCTTCACAACTGGACTTATCGCCTTTGGAAAATGCAGAGAAACAATAATTTTACTAAATATGCTAACTTTCTAAATCCATTTCAAAATCCATGTCAATGTTTTACACGCTGGCCAAAATGGTTCAACAAAACACAAAAGCTGCAACTAAACAAAACAAGCCACTTATTTTTACTAATAGTGGGAGTAAAAAATAATAGATTGTACTTTTAACTTATAATGGAAGTTGTGGCCAGTTGGAAGTCATGCTAGAGCAGAAGTTTTGTTAATGTTAATATAAAGCCAAAAACATAAGTGAATGAGAAACCACAGCATTTGGGACCTTCTTCATTAGACTAACAACACCAGTGCAAAGCCCCAAGATCTGACAACCAAAAGGGTATCACATCTTTGTGCTGCAGCTTTTGTTACTGTGCTTCGTCTTGTGTTGTCACTTCAGTATTTTGTTGAACCATCAGGGCCACCGCAAGTTTTAAGAGCTCAAAACACAAAGCAAAAATATGAGTTGGGTAAAAACTCTAATGAATAAACCCGTTGCAATGTGTTCTGCAAAGGAAAGACAGGAGCAAGATAAATAAATAGCAGACCTGATCTTTGGCTGGGTTTGATGGATCCATGAAAACAATTGATTCGCTTGTGGCTGATGTCACCAGGCCTGATTTTGTGCGACCAGAGTCCCTGAAGATTGGAAGAGATGCACGGTTAGTGTCGCGTTCAACTATAAGTGTAACCATCTGCTGTACGGCTCAGTCATAACAGCATAACACTTTTATTATAAAGCATTTTCAAATATGAATAGTTTAAGTATTGTTCTGCAGTAATGAAAAGAAATCATAAAAAAACTGGCAAAAATCTGTAAGAATGCAAAATAAAGGCCTTTTTAAAGCATACATTTGACTTTTGAAGTTTCCTTGAAAGTAAGATTAAAATCTTTTCCCGTCTTGTTTTCATTAGCTCAATTTCGTGTCTCATCTTAAGAGTGTTAGGTATGGTTACACCTCTAATAAAATCATGTAACAATGACAATCAGTCCTGTGGTGAGCTTTAAACCCAAACTGAATATCCACTTACACTAAGTTCATCAGGATTAAATTTAATAAAGTGGAATTTTTTTCTAATATCTTTGACAAAAGCTGGTAGCTGCCTTACGGTGTGCTTGTTGGAGGGGACTGCTTGGCTTGTGTGCTGTCATCAGACCCAGCTACCTGCAAACACAGAATCAAAATTTTACTTTTCACATAGTAGACCAGTAAAAAAAAATATTTTTTTTTACTAAAAAGAAATGTTGGCAGGCCATGAAATGTGTAGTAAATGAGATGAATCAACTTTTTAGTGATATTTAAGTCAGAGGTTCCCAAACTGTGGGGCGCGCCCCCTAAAGGTGGGCGCCGTGCCATTGCAGGGGGGGGGGGGATGAAAAAAAAAACAAACACAAAAAAACCATGAAAGCTGTATGCGCTGGGTTTTTACCTTAGAACGGCCAACTCTCTGCTATTCCTCTGTAAATTTGATACAGTAGGGGCTTCCACACTTCCCATATCTGTGTCCTCTGTCACTTTTATCAGCAGTTAAAACTGTTTAATCCGTTGTTAACATGTGGTAACCTGTTTTTCCGAGCCGCCTTTAAACGCAACACCTGTGCGGCAGTGAAGGAGACCTGCTGCTGCTGTGCAGAGCTACGCAGGTGTGTTAGAATCATGGCAGCAAAACGCAAAGAACTTTTCACAGTTTTTCCCCCAAACAGACCGACTGAGTTGAATAAAGCTGTTGGATGCAGGTAATGTTAGCTAAAGGATGACTAGCTAGCTAATATCTATACAGCACCTTAAGCTTAACAAGTAGCCTATAGGCTACTGATGTTGTTGTCTATGTTCAGCTACAGTACATTAATTTTGCTCCCAAAAAAGTCGATTCCCCCCGCCCCCCAAGGGGCAGGGAGAGGGAGAAGGACAGGGGGGGCCCAGAAAATGTTTAGAAACCCTTGGGGGGCGCAGGAGAAAAAGTTTGGGAACCACTGTTTTAAGTCATTTAGATGCACCAGAACTAGATCTCACGTTAAAAAAGCTCAAGTATCGGTACCTTGCTGTCCCAGTCTGACTGCTCCTTCAGTGCAGACAAGGCCAGTCGAGCTGCATTCTGTTTGGCATCCTTGACGCTCTTGCCCTCACCAACGGAGTACTGCACGTTGTTAATCAATAACTTGTAGGAAAATCTGCAATGTCCAAAAGGAAGAGATTAATAAGCGAAGAGTTTATCAGTCTGTTGCTATGAATTCAGCTTAAAGAAGTTCACTTATGCTCACATTGGGTTATGAGGGGGGCCAATTCTTTTATCTTCTACAAACGCACAGGTGCTCCTTGTCTTCTGACAGTGAGAATTGACCAGTCCAATGAAGTTTGTTTCTGTAAGGATGCTGTCTTCAGACTGCAGGCTCAACCGCTTGGCACGATTACTGAAAGGCAAAATATTATAACTAATAAAACATTTTACAGTCCCTCCAGGAAGTTGTCTCTTCCTACTAATTTTAGTTAGTAGGAAGACTATCATCAGTCGTAAATTTTGACTTGTAATTTTCACCAATTATCTCAACTTTCCTGCAAATATGACTAATTACCTTTACGTTTTATGCATTTCCTTCTTTTCTGACCAATCACAGCAACCCGGCTGAGTTTTGACCAGTCCTCTTAGCCCCCTTGAAATTGAACTTCCACACGGCATGAATTTATTTGTATTAAGGGAGCTATTTCAGAAAAGTACTTGACAATATCATTTGCATTTCACTTATTAGCCATGTTAAAAGCTTATATTTTTTGGGAAGGTTATGTGAAGCAATTTCCAAGTTTTTGTAAGATCATGGCTTGGTGTAAATAAAGTTTGCAACTTTTGAAAAAGGTGTTACATAATCTGTAATTTTAGGCTGCAACAATGAAAAAACAAAAAAAGAAACAAAAAAAAACATTGCATCATCCTGGAGAGATCCTGACTTTTAGATCAAACACTAGGAAAAGCATCAGGCTCACCTGATATCTGAGACAACTTCCTCACTAGGCAGACTTGATGTGCCACTGTCCCGATCATCTCCAGTCTGAAAAACAAACAAAAACATACAATCAGAAACATACATTTAAATTGAATCCAGGAATCAGATGATAATAAACTTATGTATCTCACTACTTACATCTAAGGTTTCATTGCCTAATATCTCATGATGCACCAGCCTGGCAGCTTCCTCCCTGGCTTCCTTCTTGGTTTTCCCAAAAGCAGCTGGAAACTCCTTGTCTCCCACCACAAACCTACAATACCTGATGCCATCATGAGAAGAATACTTTTTATATAACCTGTACTACTGAGTTGACACCTATAAAAGTAACTGGATGATGTAAGGAGACCTACTGAGATAAATTATTGGGTCCAGGTGTGATTTTCTCCACAGCCCTTATCATGAGCCTATTACTTTGTCCATATTCATTCAGCCAACACATGTAATTAGTTTTCACCTGAACCGGAGGAGAAGAAACTTCTGCAACGCTTCCTGTCTGTCAGGATAAAAAAATAAATAAAATCCAAGAAAGCCCATGTTAGTATTTCACATCAATCCAAAAAGTGAAATATGCATTAATTCAATAATTCTTACAGAAACTGAAGTTTCATTCAATAAGTGCACCAGGGCATTTTTAGCAGCACTCTGTTTGGCTTCTTTCTTGTTCTTCCCCACACCTTCAGGGTATGGCTTTCCATTCACAACAGCTTTTAAAGTAAACCTGCAAAAGATTCAGAAGAACTGTATTAGTTGCATTTAGAATGTGATTGAATGGTTTGACAAGAACTGTCGCTAATTTTTTCACATTTTGGGAGATATAATGTGACAGTGTAGGGTGAGTCTGAATTCAAATACATTTTCGTAGAGGCACGGCTCTATCAGCTTTGCGGAACAAAAAAATTGTTTTTTAAAATTAAATTTCCATCAAACGGATAAAATATTCACTGTTATCTAACCAGAGCTTTGTCCCCAATGTTTTCTTTCTGTGTTCTCCATGTGATTGTCTGGTTACTCTCCGGGTTCTCCGACTTCCACCCATATTACGGAAACATGGCTGCTAGACTAATTGGTCTCTCTACATTGCTCTGAGGTGTGAGTGTGTATGTGCATGGTTGTTTGTCATGTGTGTCTCTGTGTTGCTAAGTTTGTATAGAAATTGTATGGATATGGATGGATCAACAAATCAGCAAATGCTAATTTCTGTGATTTGTGATTTTCTTTCAGCAATCTCCTTCTCCTTGCACACGCTTCAATGAATACTGATAGTTGTCCTTAAGACACGTTCTCCCACTTGAGCTATGGATCTCAGCAGCTCCTCCAGAGTTACCAGAGGGTCGGTCTCTTGGATGCTACTCTGATTGAAAACGATGTCTTTGCAGGGTTGCATCTTTGCCATCCTTTTATTAATCTCAGAACAGAGCTGTTGAATCGATCAAAACTTGGGAATACAACTTAGCTTACACATTTCTCCATGATCTGACTGCTGTGTTCCTTAGTCTTCATGATGTCGTTTCTTCTCTGACATTACTGTACAGCATGCATATGCTTCCATAAAGCTGAGTGATTTACTAAAATGATACAATACACTTGGAGAGACGCAAGTAAAAGAAACTTCCAGAATGAGGCAAAAATAAAAAAAATCCCACCAACTCACGTTCTAATGTGGTCAGGTCCAACACATCCAACTTCCTCATACTTCAGCTCCAGTCGCTCTTTTTGTGCGTATTCATTCAGTCTAGCTATGTAGTTTACAGAATCCATTTTGAATAAGATTCGCTTCTGAAGTGCAATAAAATAGCAGAAAACACAGCCCTAACCCGGCAACACTCTTCTGGTTTCATGTTAGCGCTGCTTCCACGGCAGAGACGTAAGTTTCGATTTCATCAGAAACGTCACCCGTGGTGCCTTCAAGTCCAGTCTGAAATATCAACTCCTGTGGAGTTTAATGCATTCACTATTTTAATTCAAAATCTAACTTTTAAAACCAGCTTTACATTTCCAATAATTGAAATATTTAAAAAGCGACTGAAGAGTTTGCAAAAGAATGAAAATAGATTAATATATTAAACATATTTGGCCACGTGGAAGATATTCACTGGCCTCTTTATTTGTACTACCTTTGTAAAAATATGTTTGTAGCTTTTGTAAATTATGACTCCGGAAGCCACACAGCTCAAAGGAAGTAAATAAACATAAATCCAGTAGGGATTCACAACGGTTCCAGTTGTCAGGACACGTAGTTCAAAACTCCAAAGGAATACTTGGTGTAATAAAAATGCACAGCGGAAAAATGGTCATGAAGGGAAGGTAATAAAAATTATTTACAGACGCATCCAGTATAATGATATTTAGGGGAAAGAAATACTAAAAGCAGAGATAATTATGCTTTTTTTAAACATCAACAATATGACCTCTTTCTAAGTAACTCAAAGTCAACAATTTTTGAAAATGACAAAACCCGAATTTCATCAACACAAGATTTCTGAAAAATAATTTTACTATGGCTGCTTTTGAAACACATGAAAGAGATTCCTCCATCATTTTAAAACAATTTGTAAATGCAACTTTATCACACTGTTGAAGAAAAGAAACACACAAACTGACAAAAGATTTAAACAATACATGAACGTTTCACAAATTACAACTAATATTATCAAATACTGTTACTCTAAAGTCTGTTGATTCCGATTTGCACTGTAACATTATCTTTATTACGCCAAAGGTATTTTAAGAAACAAATAAATGTTGCTGTTTTTTAAGGAGGAAGCTACTGAATGTCTCTTAATCAGGATCATTCGTGATCTGCTGCTGTATCTCCCGGACAATTAGAAGCCAGGTCCTCCTCATCTGCAGAAAGACAATATATGCATTAGCAAAAGAGCATAAAACAGATAGAAATCTTATGATGGTTTCACCCTTACCATTATATGTGGTTCCACACCATATGCAGTAAAAATGGACTCCTCGTAAATAGGATGTAATAATTTGCAATTTATCAGAGGGCTGTAAGAGAGAGCGAAACACCTGAAGTTAATATAATGGTAAGTTTAACAGCAAACACATTAATGACATTGGCATGGAGAATATATTTCATATCTAAATATTTTTTTAGTAATATTAATATTTTTTTTTGGTAACACTGGGATTTTATACTGCTGTGAGAAGTGCATATCCTAAAATAAATACCAACATTTAGCTCTGGAATTTCTTCCTCTTCGTCCTCCTCTTCAACAGGATCTTCCTCGTCATCACCATCATCTTTGGGCCAGTACCAGGGTTCTCTGGGAGCAGTTATGCCCTGAGACAAAAACATACCTCATGTGTAAGGAGAAAACCAACACAACACTTTAAGAGTTAGTCAAAATGATAATGAGATTTTTCTTCAAAAAGTATTTTCCCCTTCTTCTTTTTGTATGTATTCTCAGATTATAGTATCTAAAATGAGGGCTGAGTAAGACAAGCATTGATCAGAGAAACAACCAAGAGGAGCTGCAGAGATCCACAGCTCAGGTGGAAGCAGCTGTCAAAAGTACCACCTGCAAATCTGACCTTTGTGGCAAAATGGAAACTTACATTTAAAGGAAGTTGTAAGAATTTTCATTAGACGTTTGTCACAAGTCATGCAGGAAAAGACTAAATTTCAACCTTTTGATCTATATACAACAGGACATTACAACTAGACTGTGACCACACCATTGTGATGGTGGGACATGGTGGAAGATGCATTATGCTGTGAAAAATGCTGCTTTACAACAGGGAAACAGATTTGTCGTAATTATTTATCTGACATAGGAGCTAAATAAAGGGAAACCTAGGAAGAAAGCCTTTTAGAGGCTGCAAAACACTTGAAACTGGGGTGGAGATTTAACTTCCTGTATGACAACAACCCTCAAGATGCAGGCAGAGCTGCAATTACATGATTAGGTCAAAGCATAAGCATATTATTGGCTGTAATGTGACAAAATGTTAAATGGTTTATTTGCAAGGAACTTTATTCTCAAATTTCTCCTGACCTTCTGATTGTCAAGCTGCTCACAAGACCGCTGACTCCTCCTCAGGTCTCCTTCAATCTTCCGCTCTTCTCTCTCTGTTCTGACTCTTGACCTGAAGTGGGGTGCAAACACAGACAATAAAACAGCTCTACTGTAAGCAAGGAGGCTCCTCAGGGACATCTCAAATGCTCTTGCAAACTTCACCTAAAATCCTCCAGAGACTTGGCCTCGTTCTGCTGTTTGGCTCGAACTTTCTGACGATAATGGTGGAGTTCCTCCTCAGCTTTTCTTTTTTTCATCTCTTCAAGACCAATACCCCCTCTGTCTGATGGATCAGTAACAGAAACCTTAATAAACAACAAATTGCACTCATCAGCACAGTATGACATAAAAAATGAACAGCTTACCTGCTTTAATACTTAGAGGAATTGGATCAACCCTTCCTGCTCCTGAAGACACATAAGCATTACATTTGATTCAAGAGCCTAATCTAGATTAAAGACAAAATTATTAGGAAAGATTATACTTACCCTCTTTACCAAGGCCTTGGCCAGCTTTGTAACCCATCTTTTGAAGAAGGGCAAAGCCCTTGTTCTGATTGCTGATGGAGCTCTGTAAAGCTGCTTCTCGGCTCTCCTTCTCCTGCTCCTTATAGCTCTTCTGACGGTTCTGGATATTCTTCTCCTTTTGTTTTTCCTCCTTTCTGATGGCTTCCTTCACCCTCCTCACCATGTTGACTCCTGGCTTCACATCCTGACTATAAACAGGAAAAACATGGGGAACAGAAACATTTTGCAGATCATTTCTCTATTAATATTTTAAATGAGTATGATGAATGCTTAGGGCACAGTGGCGCAGTTGGTAGAGCTGTTGCCTGGCAGAAAGAAGGGTCTGGGTTCCCGGCCTGGGGTCTTTCTGCATGGATTTTGCATGCGTGGGTTTCTCCCACAGTCTAAAAACATCTCCAAATTACTCAACTAAAATGCAGATTTTAACATTATATTCAGCACTTAACAAACAGGAAGATTTTTCTATTCAGAAAAATTCAGCTAAGAAATTCAGAAAAATTCACCTAAAATTCCTGGGATGACAAAGTTATATATGATTTTATACCTATATTATTTTAGCTACAACTGTTTTGTTGAAACCTGTTAAGTTTATTTTTTTTAAATGAAGGTAATTAATTCAATTCAATAAAGAAATACTTCATTAATTCATCATTTATATACTGCTGAAAACTGCTGTCATTACATAATTTACAATAGCTTGCTAGGTAGCTACATATCTTTGTAATTTCGATACAAACATAAACTCCTTACATTTTACTGAGGAATGCATCCGACATATAATCTTCTTCCTGGTCCGACATTGTGAATTGCAGAAAAAAAAAGTAGTACAATTAAAAATAAAGAGCGAATCAGCTCAAACAAATGCTCGCTGGTTAATTTTGTTGCTCCCCTGTGTTTGGTTCGTTCGAAGAAAATTTCCGACCATCTACAAGGAACCCAAGTGTCAATAGTTCCGTCATTTAAAACACATAATTATAGAAAATGTATCAATACACACCATACAGAATTAAAGTTTAATACAAAACAAAAGTTTTAAAATATTTTTTGTCAATTGCGCGCATATGTATCAGGTATGTTGGTTCTTTGCATAGTTTCCCACCGGAAGTACTTGTTTGCAACGCCGCTGATATTTTGTCGTCATTCATCCTGGATCATCGAAACACAGGTAGTATTTGTATTTTATCGATATTTAGCTCATATTTTAGGATGCTGTTGAGAATGTCGTGTTTCATAGGACATTTGGGAGTTGGGATAGACTTCAGAAAACGGCTAAAAGCCCCGGTTAACGCCGTGTCGCCGGAGTTCAGCTTGTTCCTCCTAGGAATCAGCTAGCTAGTTGAGGCTGCTACAAACAGCTAAAAACTGTCAACGGCTGTCAAAACACAAAACAGCCCAAATAATAAGGTGTTACTGCTTCTAAGCTTTATTTTTATGAAGCACATATGCCATTTAAATGAAGCTAAGTGTCCGAGAAATGATAGACATTTTGAGCTCATTTAACCGGCTTATTTTATTTATAGCCTGTTCAGATCAGTTTATATGACGCAAAATCAAAGTAAATCTCAAGGTTTAATAAGACAAAAATCTAGTTTAGGACATACATGTCCAAGTTAAATTAAATCAAATTAAATTCATTACAACATGATGCAGTCACATCAAGAATCATGTGCAATCCAAAAATTGAACTAGTTATAATGCAGTTCAAAGTCAGGGGATCATATAAAACCAATTTGTTTTTATATGATCAAATTTGTAAAAAGTCATCAAAGGAAGCCCAGCAGATTCCATTGAATCACTTATTTCATAGCAATCCCTCATCCTAAGCATGCATGTGGCAACAGAGGAGAGAAACCACTCCCTTTTAACAGGAACCTCCAGCAGAACCAGATTCAAACGGAGCTGCTGCAACCAGCTTGGTGTTGAGAGAGCCAGAAGCAGACATAGGAGAAAAAGAGAGAAGCTCTGGGTCAGGAGTTCTCCTTAACGAAAAGAAAAGAGAAACACAGTAAGGCTACAGTACATCAGCAAAACAAAAGCAATATGGGAAAACGTTGAATGTTGATGATGATGATGTGACATTATACTGGAGTGTTGGCATGGGCCAGTATGAGAACTACCACAGCTTTATGATATTACTGTATTTACACCAAGGTTTCTAACTAAAAAAGTGCAAAAATAATCTAATTGCTTTTGTTTAAAAAATGAAAAGCTGCAACTATTCCTAAAACACTGACCCAGTCGCCCAGATTGATGCAGACCGGTTGGCAATTTTGTGCTAAAGGCCTTTGCTAGGGGCACATTGACTGTTGTAAGAAGAAACACACAACTTTCTGATTGCAAGGCAACTACTCTATTCAATGTTCCATAGTCAACCCAGTTTTTACTGGGTACAGTAAATTTTATTTATGTTATAAATAAAATTATAATAATTTTATTTATAACATTTGTGGTCATTACAATGTAGTAATAATGTAGAATCAACAGTTTCTGCTGCTAAACAGACATGATTCTCAAATCTTACAAAGAGAGTTGGGTGGCTTCCCTTCAGCATGATGCTGCCATTACCATATTTTATTGTTCATTTTCACACTATGACCATCAATGTTTGTTTTGGAACTGGAAAAAAAAATATTGCACTCTCCTTTTACAGTAATAAGTGGGAGGAGAGTAGTGCTGCTTTACGCTTTCCTCCTTAAAACAGGAGGAAACTCCAGTCACTCTGGGCTTTTCTCTGACATTTCACTGAGAGGACTTTAAACTCATTCATCATTTTGGTGGTTTTGGAATTGTAACTTGCTAAAACTTCTGTTTACCTTGGTATCAGTAATGCCTTTATATGAAAGACTTAACAGGGTAGCAATTAAAAGAAGCTGGAAGTTGCATAATGTGACTTTTCTATTTTGTTTCATTATATTTTATGAGATTACAGCTAAATTACCAAACAGGCAGAAAATTGGCATTTTATGCTGACAATGTGCACGTTCTGGCAGACGAGGGTGAACAGTGCTGATCCTCACCATGGAGCTGGCTCACAGTCTGCTGCTCAATGAGGATGCTCTGGCTCAGATCACTGAAGCAAAGAGACCAGTCTTCATCTTCGAATGGCTTCGATTCCTGGATAAAGTGCTTGTGGCAGCAAATAAGGTGATTTTTCATTGTTGGTATTGCTTTTTTTAAGTAATTGTCTTTGCAGGTGACTTTAATGATGTGCTTGAATGGCAGGTGGATGTGAAGGAGAAGCAGAAGAAGCTGGTGGAACAGTTAACAGGACTGATCAGCAGCGCCCCTGGACCACCAACCAGAAAACTGCTGGCTAAAAACCTCGCTACTCTCTACAGTATTGGCGATACCTTCACCGTGTTCCAGACTCTGGATAAATGCAACGAGATCATTAAAAGCAAGGATGACACACCTGCGTACTTACCAACAAAACTGTAAGACACAGCATTTCGTAATATTTACAGTTTATTAATAGCTTCTTGACATTTACAAGGACTTCTTATTTTTTCATTATTGCTTTCAAAATTCAAGCACATACAGCTGACCCCTCTCAAAGGGTATTAGGAGTTAAGCCATGCATTAGTCTGCGGTATGATAATTTGTGTTTAAAAGGGAAGATTAAGTTAAGAGGAACAGGTGTTATCGTTTTCTTGCTCGCATTAATGGAATATTAATCCTACATTAGGATTTAATGGTTCAGTTTATTTTAATCCTCTGTTTTATTTACATGAAGTTTATTTTCCACATTTAGCCCAATATCTCCACAAACTTTAATCTTTTGTAATGGGATTTTAAGTGATGGACATATACAAAGCAGTGCAGCTTCTAAAGTGGAAGAAAAATTAAACTAACCCTAACTCTGACAAGAAAGTTTGTCTTTATCATATCTTTTTTTCTAATCATTCTGAGTTTTCATGATGATTTTTGCTTGCGTATAGCAATGTTTTGGTTGGTATTTGTCTCACAGTGCTGCAGTGGCTTGTGTTGGAGCATTTTATGAAAAGATGGGCCGGATGTTGGGAAGCTCATTTCCAGACACCATTAATAATCTCCTGAAAGCTCTAAAGAGTGCAGAGGTAACGGAGACGTTTTGTTTTTGACATAGCTTAGTTCTTTACTGGAGGGCCATTGTGTAATATCTGTATTATTTATTTGAATAATTTCTGTAGTCCCAAGGCAGAGGAGAGATCCTTCTCAGCCTGCAGAAGGTGCTGAGTGGACTGGGCGGAGCTGCAGCTTCATGTCACAGAGACATCTACAAGAACGCCCGCTCTCTGCTCACAGACAGATCCATGGCCGTCCGCTGTGCGGTAGCCAAGGTTAGTATCTGGAAAACACGTCAATGAAGGGATTAAAGAAAACGATTACTAGCTGTATTTTAACTGAATAGTTTGAATTCTCATATAATTGTGGTTTTATTCTAATATTAATCTAACATTTAAATTCTCGCTACAAAAACAGGCTCTACTAGAGAATTAGTAGTATAACTTGTTTAAAAGACCCAGTAATTTCTTGAGATCTTTCATATTAACTGTACATCCCATAAACCAACATCACTCCTAAACAATCTATCATGTATGACATCTGGTCTCGTTTACCAACAAACTGCTAAATGCTAAATACAGAAATAAGAGCTATTGGGATCTTTCCTCTTGGGAGCTTTGAGACTGTATAACCAGCAGCCAACAAACTATAAAATACCAAATCTAAGCTGTACTATTTCAATCTATGTGCAACATTTGTGTACCTACAGTTATTACACACATTTAAAATTTCTGCAGTACAAAAACTTTAAAATTTATTTTCTTAGCCTCGATTCTCGTATAAAGCCTTTTTTTTTTACACAGAAATAAAATGCACTGATTTAAAAAGCTGAATGAACATACCTCTGATCTCAGTTTTAAACACCTTTCTTAAGATTAAATAAGCAAACTTTGAGTCTTCTCTCTGTAGCAACTTTCAAATTGAATAGTGGTGTAAGTCGTAAGGGCTCTTAAGTATGTTGGTGTATTCACTGATCATAATTAAAATTAGATTGATGAGTTTCTGAATGACTAATCAAGCTGAAAACATATTTACTTACAAAATCTTACATTTTCCTTTTTGCCCGATCAGTGCCTGCTGGAGCTGCAGAATGAGGCGGTGTTCATGTGGACGACAGAACTGGAGAACGTGGCCACTTTGTGTTTTAAATCCTTGGAAGGCTCCAACTATGGCGTTCGGGTGGCAGTGGCCAAACTGCTGGGAACCGTCATGGCGACAGCGCTCATGCCCAAACAAGCTGCAGGTACCTGAGCTGGATCAGCAGTACTCTCTATACGTTCAACTGGCAGACTCGTTGTTTCCAACCTGGTTTTTTGTGACTCCCAGTGATGCGTCAGAACGTGAAGCGTGCCACACTGGACGAGGTTCTGGAGCTGATGGCCACCGGGTTCCTACGGGGAGGATCTGGCTTCCTGAAGAGCGGAGGGGAGATGCTGAAGGGGGGGGCGTCGGTCAGCAGGGAGGTTCGAGTCGGGGTCACCCAGGTAGGAGGGATTTTTTAGAGGGGAAAAAATTTAAGATGGTTGTATCCGTCCATTCATGCTCACTCATAGACGGTCACATGTTCACAATTAAAGCCTAATTGCTGCAGAACTGTCTTCCATAGATTAATAATAAACTTTTATATTTATGCTTTTGAAAATAGCTAAAGACGAAAAAATTGACCTGTATATGTGAGAATCTGGTTTTTGTCCAACTGACTTGTCGTTCTCTTCTCTGTCCTCAGGCTTACGTTGTCTTTGTGACCACACTGGGTGGTCAGTGGCTAGAGCGCAATTTTGCCACATTCCTGTCTCACGTTCTGGACCTCGTGTCGCACCCACGGGCCACCCAGACACACGTGGAAGCTGTGTACTCGCGGCGCTGTGTGTCCTTCATGTTG